TAAAATGTTTACGCCCGGTTTCGAACCGGGGACCTTTCGCGTGTGAGGCGAACGTGATAACCACTATTCTTTGTTTTTTTCGGTAAAGTCACGTATAAAGATAAAAGAATAAATTAAATAATAGCATACGGCGTTTCGATTGCAACACAAGCAATCATCATCAGGTATAATGAAATAGCGACATAGAATATAACCAGAAAACTATAGACAGACATGTAAGCAGACATATATCACCAAGATACATAGAGAGAGCAACCCAGGAACAGAGAGGGGTGATCGTCTCTGTGGGGTGGCCTTAAATAGACAGAGGGGGGGGCGGAGGCAGAGAGAGGGAGGGGTTAGGGAAAAAATGTACACGTCAATGAGTACGACGGGAGGGCAAGTAAGGTAAGCAGGCTTAGAGGGAGACAGAACACCCTAAATTCAAATAACCTAGCAAAGTATCGAAATGTTATGTAAAACGACACAGACACTACACTACGGAAACTGCTTGTCCACCCTGTTAAGTTGCAACACACTTCACTGGTATAGACCTATGCCAACAGTCAAGAATGATGAACTCATCAAGTTCATGAAGGCACATTTTACGTGCACTTTAAATAATACACGATTTTTTGTGGTTTTACGTAAAATGTTTCCGCCCGGTTTCGAACCGGGGACCTTTCGCGTGTGAGGCGAACGTGATAACCACTACACTACGGAAACTGCTTAGCAAACCTGTGAAGTTGCAACACACTTCACTGGTATATGCCAACAGTGAAGAATGATGAATTCATCACCTTCATGAGGGCACATTTTACGTGCACTTTAAATAAAACACGATTTTTTTTGGTTTTTACGTAAATGTTTCCGCTCGGTTTCGAACCGGGGACCTTTCGCGTGTTAGGCGAACATGATAACCACTACACTACGGAAAATGCTTGTCCACCCTGATAAGTTGCAACACACTTCACTGGTATAGACCTATGCCAACAATAAAGAATCATGAATTCATCACCTTCATGAGGGCACATTTTACGTGCACTTTAAATAAAACACGATTGTTTTTTGGTTTTACGTAAAATGTTTCTGCCCGGTTTCGAACCGGGGACCTTTTGCGTGTGAGGCGAACGTGATAACCACTACACTACGGAAACTGCTTAGCAAACCTGTGAAGTTGCAACACACTTCACTGGTATATGCCAACAGTGAAGAATGATGAATTCATCACCTTCATGAGGGCACATTTTACGTGCACTTTAAATAAAACACGATTTTTTTTGGTTTTTACGTAAATGTTTCCGCTCGGTTTCGAACCGGGGACCTTTCGCGTGCTAGGCGAACATGATAACCACTACACTACGGAAAATGCTTGTCCACCCGGATAAGTTGCAACACACTTCACTGGTATAGACCTATGCCAACAATAAAGAATCATTAATTCATCACCTTCATGAGGGCACATTTTACGTGCACTTTAAATAAAACACGATTGTTTTTTGGTTTTACGTAAAATGTTTCTGCCCGGTTTCGAACCGGGGACCTTTTGCGTGTGAGGCAAACGTGAGAACCACTACACTACGGAAACTGCTTGTCCACCCTGTTAAGTTGCAACACACTTCACTGGTATAGGTTCCTAGAATCAACCCACCCGTGCCTGCAACATGGCTTCATCCCAGAGGTCGCAATCGAGTACCCGTACCCTACCCGATACCCGGCCAGGTACGGGTAGCCGGGTATCGGGTAGGGTACGGGTACCCATTTGCGACCCTGGTGCGGCCGGGTACGGGTAAGGAATCAAAACCCGTTTGCGACCTCTGGTGTGTGAGAGTGAGTAGACGGGTGAGTGAGGCAGAGCCGTGCTCCGTCCACTGCTGCCCTGAGGGACCCCCCTGCTCTCCACTGCTGGCTTTAGGGAGAGCCGCGCTGTCTCCACTGCTGCCCTCAGGCAGAGCCGTGCTCTGTCCATTACATTAGTACTGCCGTTTTTTTGGTGCTTAAATCCACTGCTGGGTGAATGCCCACCGCACGCTGTGTGAGTGGATCGTAAGGATTTACTTGACCAGTCTGATGGGGCCCGCTGCAGGCTGTGGTTGTTTGTTTTTGTCATGAAATCATCATCTTCATCAGGGCACATTTTACGTGCACTTCAAATAAAACACGATTTTTTTTAGTTTTACATAAAATGTTTCCGCCCGGTTTCAAATCTTCCGCGGGTTCGGCAAACGTGATAACCACTACACTATGGAAACCCCTTGCATGCCTGTGCTGTAGCAACATAGTTTAATGACATGAGCCTATTCCAACTAAGTTAATCACAAAAAGATCATCTTCACAAGCGCAAATTTGAAGTGCACTTCAATAAAAAAAAAACTATGTGTCTGGTTACAAATAAAATGTTTCTGCCGGTTTTTGAACCGTTTCTCTATCTCTTAACATGGGGCAATATAGAGTGTTTCTCGGGAACTGCAAATCGCAAAGTTAAGGTCTTCATAGTATTGAACTCAGCACCGATTTTCAATCGGATCTTCAATGGTATAAACATGTCGGCCAGCGTGCGTGGGATGTAGCCACAGTTGGTTTTATTTATTTTTTACATGAAAATCCGTGAGCTAATACAGAATCGCAGTGCAAATGGGTCGTGGAGGTTTCGATCGTAATTTTTATTTTCACCGGCGCCGGACGCGTTGTTTCGTGTTGCCCTCTTGGTGGGCACGTGGAGTAACGACTACAATACGTGGTGACGCCTGCCATCTGGCACACGTGTATAGTTATAGGCCAACAACAAAAACAACAATCGCCATTCGCTACTAAGTGGCGGTGATATCAACACGGCTCTTGTGCCAGGCTAGGTGCACGTTGAGGCCACGTGAAGTGCCGAACACCCGCCGACAGGTCACGGGGCAGCCCCAACAGGTGCCGCATGGGTCGACTGAGATGACTGGCACCACCTTTCACCCCCCCCCCCCCCTACAGTGCCAACCTGTCAACCCCTTACCAGTGCCCTAGGGACCGTCCATAAATGACGTCACGCGATTTTGGACGATTTTTGACCCCTCCCCATCGTCACACGGCGTCACAAAAAGTCAGACCCCCCTCAAATATGACGTCACAAAGCTCTGCCCCCCCCCCCCCAAAATAAAACATGCTTCAAATCGCTTTAAGCTATTGTCATTGTAGTGGCGCTGCACTCTAATGTTGTAGGAGAAAACATTTCTTAAAAAGTCTATTTAATTCAGTAGAACGTGTTGTCTATATTTATTTAAAGTTGCGCATTTTGATGTGACGTCACATTTCTCAACCCCCCCCCCCCCTCGTCACACATCGTCACAAATGTCTGACCCCCCCCCCCCCCACTAGGTGCGTGACGTCATTTATGGACGGCCTCTTGTTATTACAGACCAATTCAGACCTTGTAAGGTTCACCCCGCGCCCTTATAATTCACAACGTTCATCCTACAGAGCCCCATCACAAGGGAGAAACACAGACAAACACTCATCCTGCGTCCTGCCCTGGGAGCCATAGGTCGGGCTCTTCCACTCTTTCAAATGTCTGCCTGTCGACGTCGCTACTTTCGCCTTCTTCGCCGCAGGAGGAAACGCTGCCCCCCCCCACCCCCACTGTCGCTGTGCTATGGCGTGGCTTGTGTGTTGGAAAATCGGATGTGGAAGTAACATGTAGCCTGCGCGCATGATCTGTACCGAGAAGAGTCTTAATTGCGGATCAAATTTGTCGGCTGCTACCGGGAACGCGCGACTCTACGGAGTAAAAAAAATAATTCTGTCCCACGAATTTATGTATTTGGCCGTACGATTTTCGTTATTGTTGCCCGTATTTACACGGCTGTACGCCGCATGAACCTGACAACTCAAGTTCAAGTTCATTTATTAGGTATAGCCCTGTGAGCCATTCGGCTCTTGAATCGGGTGCAACCGCAACAAACACAAAACAAAAACATGAACAAAAAACATTTTAAAGTGAATATGTGACTCGATTTCCTGTGCAAGAATACGGCGTAAACCGTATGAGTTGACACGGCATATGCATTGAACCCACTCGGACAGCCGCAATAGTTGCGCAACACCTCTACGACGTACCGCTACTGTGGGCACCGCACAGTCGTACCGCGTGGTGGCCACCACACGGTGGCGCTACAGCCCCCGTGGTGGCCACACGGTGGCGCTACAGCCCCCGTGGTGGCCACACGGTGACGCTACAGCCACTAACCCCGGGGGGGTCTCACGGTCCTTAGGGGCCGTCCATAAATGACGTCACGCACCTGGGGGGGGTTCAGACATTTGTGACGATGTGTGACGAGGGGGTTGAGAAATGTGACGTCACATCAAAATGCCGAACTTTAAATAAATATAGACAACACGTTCTACTTAATTAAATAGACTTTTCAATAAATGTTTTCGCCTACAACATCAGAGTGCAGCGCCATCTTCTTGGTTCTTTCGGTAAAGTCATGTAGAAGGGAAGTAATAAAATAATAAAAATAAAACACAATAAAATAATTCTCACGACGTTTCGGCCACAACGCAAGCAGCCGTCCTCAGGTGAAGAAACAGGTCTGTTGGGAAGACGGCGTCTGAATGACACGCCCCAGGCTTGGAGCGTCTATTTAAGCTGGGTTGGAGCGAGAAGGTGCGCCTTAACAACATATTTTGCATATCAATAGGAATTTAGCATATTTATGGGAAATGCAGATATGGGATTAGTTATTTTGTTAAGGCGCACCTTCTCGCTCCAACCCAGCTTAAATAGACGCTCCAAGCCTGGGGCGTGTCATTCAGACGCTGTCTTCCCGACAGACCTGTTTCTTCACCTGAGGACGGCTGCTTGCGTTGTGGCCGAAACGTCGTGAGAATTGTTTTATTTGTAGTTTTATTACTTCCCTTCTACGTGACTTTACCGAAAGAACCAAGAAGATGAATTCCTGCAGTCACGAAAGCTTTAAATCGAAATGCAGCGCCATATTAAATACGCACTACAATGACAATAGTTTAAAGCGATTTGAAGCATGTTTTATTTGGGGGGGGGGCAGAGCTTTGGATAAAGCCAGGATGAATCGTAGACAGGCCAGTCTGCATGTTTCTAACCAGTGCCGACGGTCTGTTAGAGGGGTCCACATTTCACAAGCATAGAGAAGGGACACCATGACTGGACGAGAAGACCAAGAGCTTTGTAAGGAGAGACAGACCAGGCAGATTCCACACAGCATTTTGGAGCTGATGAAATGATAATGCTGCTTGACTGATTCGGAGTGACACCTCTGCTGCCAAACCAGAGCTGGTCATATGCACACTGCCCAGGTATGGGAACTACTCCACTCTCTCCACAACAGCCCCATAACTGCCCCATAATTTTCGTCTCGAGGAGGCAAAGTGCACAAACAAATTGCATTGGCCTTAGCCATAAGCTTACCTTTATTTTACAGTAATATCGACAGTGACAAGAATGTTGTTGCAGCTTTTGTGTAATTTCTGTGCAAAAATGTTTCAGCATCACACAGTCTCACAGGTTAATACATTACATTAAAAGATTAGCTTCTAGATGTATACACAATAAAACATAATGTATAAAAGTTTCGTGTTCCAGGGTAAAATTTAAAACAATTTCTTCAGTAACTCAATGTAATATTCTCTCTTCTTTGCATTCTTGTTCTGAAAAAAAAAGGCAGTGCTGTTATTCTACATGGACAAAAGATCAAGAGTCATTCACAGACAGAGATCGGCTCTGCAAACACAATATCAAGTTAGGGCTGGCAGCAAAATGACAGATTGAAAACGACTGCCGTCAAAAGACACCAATGCACGTACACAAGTGACGGTGTATAGAATCCAACAACAGTAACTTGCAAGTGCTTTTAAACAAGACGCTCCAGTGGAGGGTATTGAATGTAAAGACTTGTGTCTGAAAGCCGCTCTCAGTAACATTGCAGCAAAATTATTAATATCTTGTAAACGTCAATTCTGTGGTCACCGCAGTTTTATAGCAAAAAGTCTCTTCACATCTTTCAACAGCCAATCCTCGATGTTGCCTTTAGACTTGTTTTTATCCGACCTCAAGCCACTCAGAAAGCGACGAGCTGAACGCCACACTTCAATAAGTTAGTTACGCGACTCGGATAACTCAACGATATATTCACTACGTCACACATTTCGTGATTTCCACCCCTGCAGAACTTAGAAGTTGCAGACTTTTGGGGCATCGGAAAGCATTGGATCTGCGCATTTTTGCAAGGTAAGTTTATTGGATTTCCACTACATTTTATCCTGACACTATTCAGTCCCCGTATGATGTGATGCATAATGGATATAACTTAATGATTCGATGCACCACGAGTAAACAGGCAGGTAAATTGTCGCTCTCGCGGGATAAAAAAAATGCATACAAACCTGACAGCCACGTTTCTGCCATCTCCACACTTGCAAATGGCTCGCAGTCAACCTCGGAACGACACAGGACGTCAAGAACTTGCGGCTGCACAAAACACACCACCGCAAACATAAACCACATAAGTTCTTCACTTGTGATCAGGTGAGAGCTCATAGAAACTCAAGGTCAAGGGAGACTCGCCTCTTATGGACAAACGCTGTGGAGCAAAAAAGCAAAAACTCAAGGAATAAAACAAGAGAGAGCATCACAGAAATGTGGAAACATTGGAATCAAAGCACTCGCTAAACATCACCATCATGAGCCATGCTCAATCCACTGCTGGATGAAGGCCTAACCCAGGGGTGTCCAAACTTTTTGCAAAGAGGGCCAAATTTTATAAAGTGAAGATGCCCGGGGGCCAATAGTTCCTTCCGACATTTTTACCACAAAATTTACGTGAAAATACACACTGTTATAAAACAATTATCATTGTCACAATTACCTTTATTTTTCAAATGACAATGTAACCAAATATAAGCCACTCAGGCAGACGTGAACAACTCTAAAAACACAATTCTGCCTTTCATTCAGTCAGATAACATTGAACAAACTGTATAGAATACCTTAAATTTCCATGAGTTAAATATATTTGCCTCATGAACATTTTAAACAGGAGTTATAAGTAATGCAAAGTGGTCTGTTATCATTAAACTTTAAAACAAGTGAATTTTGCCCTCTCTCTTTACGTTGAAATCCTTAAAGAAGGCATCCGTCTCTTTACAAATTAGACAAACACAATTGCCTCGATTTCCAGTGAAGAAGTATTGTAATTCCCACCGCTCCTGAAAGCGGCAGCCCTCACTGTCAACTTTTATCTTTTTTGTTTTTGCAGTCGCCATGGCAGAAATGATTCGAGAAGGGTTCGCGGCACGGATGCAAAATTAGAGAGCATTAGAATGGTGCTGCCACCGTGTGGCGGAAGGAGGAATAACATCTTTAAAGTTTTATGATTTATAAGACCGAAGCTGCGGGCCGTATAAAATCTGACCGCGGGCCGTGATTGGCCCGTGGCCGGACTTTGGACATGCCTAGCCTAACCAATGCGTGACTGTTTATCATGGTTCTGCAATGTAACAATGTATGTATATTGAACTTGTTTTGCACCGTACGGAGCCAACCGTGCTAGTCCGAGGTGCAATCCACCTAGCACATGCACAGTAGCTAATTTAAACGTTCCATCTCCCCGGTGGTCATCCCCTCGAATGCATTCCATTTCTTGGTCATCACCACATCTTTTCGATCATCGGCCATCATCCACCTAGCGACGTGCCCTGCCCATGCCCACGTACTTTACTGCATGCGCTACGCAATCCACATGTGCAACTGTCTCTCAATAAAATTCCAAACACGCACCGGCACGGTGATTATCTCCTGAGTGGAGGTGTGTTTGACAGTAGTCCCATGTAGAATGTGAGAGTAAGGAGCCCACTACCTGCAGACAGGCAAGCAGCAAGTGGGAGCCTCTGCTGTGAAAGTTGAGCAGCAGATCCCGCAGGACGCAGACGGACGAGTAGTCGAGCATGTACACGGCCTTGCAGTCCAGCACCACCGGCCGTGGGGCCGAGCAGGGCCCGGAGATGGCAGAGCAAGGCGCTGCGCACACACACGAAGCCAGGGTAAGGGGTTACTCACAATGCACGTGCTAGAGAGATGGTATCTCCCTCGCCTGGTATGCAGGAGGTCGTGGGTTCGATCCCGACCCTGATGATATATTTGGAGTTCACAAGTTCTCTCCCCTTGGTCGCGTGGAGTTTTCTCCAGGTGCTCCAGTTTTGCCCTCCACATTTACAAATATATGTTTAGAATATTTGACTACCACTATAAATTCCCACCTATGATAAGCCACTTTTGATGAGCTATCACATGTAGCCAGGTAGCCTCTGAAAAAGGCCAATTTCTCAGTGGGCTTTACCTGGTAAATAAAAGTTTCGTTTAGCCATCAAGAAATAACTTTTTAATTGCTCGTTTCAAATAGCAGCATCTCAGGTGGGCTCACTTCTCTAAACGACGGTGAACAGTTCACTCGGATTCAATTTCAGCACTTGCTTCTCGAACCTTCACAGCCCACTGAAAATAATAACGTCCAATGCCGCTTATCGCACCGCTGGGCCCAGGGAGCTCAAACGTAGGCGGCGCGCGATGCGTACCCTGCAGGGCGAGCAGCTCGTCGCGCAGGTGCTCCACAGCCAGGAAGCACAGGCCGCACTGCAGCTCCACCACCAGGGCCCCCGAGGCCGGCACAGCTGCCTCCACACGCGTCGCCTATATACGGGGGCGGCATCGGAGGCTGTGCGTGCGTGCGTACGTGCTGTGCGTGCTCTGTGCGCTGTGCATGTGTCGTGTGCGTGCGGTGTGTGAGCGTAGCTCCCTCACGTGGAGATGTGGCCGTAGAAGTGGGTACAGGAGGGGCAGAAGAGATGCGACCACCCCTCCCAGCAGCCCATACGGGATCTCCCACAGGCACAGCCCAAATGTCAGCACAAACACCAATGCATCTGACTCTGCAGGAGCGGGAAACAGAGCACTCAGGGTTATTGCCACACAGCAGAAAGCCACAAGGTGCAGCTAAACGTACATTACTTATTTACTTAGGACAGCTTCCCCGAGTCTCAACTCCTTTTGCATTGACTTATGTATAGTGAACTTCATTCGATCCATACATAGCCAACCGTGCTTTCTCAGGAGGGATCTGGTAATATCCCTAGTAGCGTACGATGAATGCTATATGTGTTTGCCAATTAAGTACTTGGCAAAGAATGTTTTTTTTTTATTTGGATGACGCTTCATCTTGTTTCAAATGACATCATGGAACCATTAACATCCACTCTGAAGGAGGTGAATGTGATGGTCAACAAGCAACTCGATGAACTTGGCCTGTCAGGATGCCCCCATGCAGTTCCATTGTCACAATTTGGCATCATAATTTAAGAATTCATTCCTTTTTATTACAGAGGTGAATGTAGCCGCTCCAGTCAATGTAGGATATACGTGCACCAATTGCAATCCGGAGATGCCCAAAACAATCGATTCTCACATGGACCATTCGATGCATGTATTGTAAGCTTTGTTATTCTCTGAATAGATTCCATCCTCCCAAAAAATGCAGAATTTCACCACAAGCTCAGGGCTGTAAAAAAGAGAGCTGAGCCCCGAGATTTAAACACTGTCATTTCAAATTGTGATGCGGTGGAACACAAACATCGCTTTACTTTTTATTTTCCAAAGCCTCCACAGAATGTGGCAGTCGAACAGCGGCGCCACGGCGCAAATGATGACGGCGGCGAGGGCGGCCTTGGGGATGAAGTAGAACCACTGCGTGAGGAAGGCGAGCGACAGCAGCACCACAGCTCCTGCACGCAGTCACCAGCACCATCACGGCAGTTGGGGTGAGCAAGGCCCACAGAGGTGTACACTGGGAAAGAGCCTCTATCAAACTGGTACAAGCTGCTCAGTGGCACCGCTACACACAGTTGCAAAACCATCTTCCTACGGAAAGTGGAATGGTAACCTGAGTAGCACGTGGGAGATAAATGGAATACCCGGAGAAAAACCACATCTATGAGGGGGTGAGATTCAACACTATTGCCATTTCCTGGCCACCTCACTGCCTTGTGCCTACATCACCTGACAAGCCACTGCTAGTAACCCATCAAAGTACGAACCCGGCTCAACTCTGCGGAGTTTAAATCTCGTACCACTGCTCCAGACACATGCACAGACATCAATGTTGACTGCATTACGACGATGGCGAGGCCCTGCCCCCCGTGCATACCTGTAACAAGGCCGCCTGCGGGTGTTGCCACACCCGTCTCGGAATTCACCGCGGTTCTGCAACACAAAGTTCCGCTTGTGTCAGAGCGGCCGAGCCCACGCGCACAAGGCCTGGGTGCCATGGTGTCGGACCTCCCAGTGTGGACGCGCATTGGTGCTGCTTTCATAGTCCACAAGCAGGCTATGTAATAGGCGCCATAAGTGTCTGTGGACGCGTATCGACACCGCTGGAGGATGAGAATTTCCCGAAGTATAAGTGTCTGAGAGGAACACACGCCCTGTTATGTGTTAAAGTGGCATTAGTGTTATACTGCAATAAGTAATATATTGCACAAACAGTTTATGTCATAGTTGTGCCTTTGTAATCATATGGTACACAGATCTTTGTTTGGGGGTTTTTTTCTTCCCCCCAGAAGTTTTGATGCTATGAAGCAGTGCTGGTTCGTGTAGGTCACCTGCCAAAGCTGCCTGTGACGGGGTAGGAAGAGGTGAAGGAACCCAGAACATTGGTGAGGCCTGAGGGAGGCACACGTGACCAACTTAACAAGGCACAAAGCAACACCGCTGACCATCGTGGCCAGTGATCGCATAACAAGCCAACAGCTCTCGTAAAAGGCAATGCTTGTGACGCAAAACACATGTGCTCGTGAGGCCATGTGGTTGCTGGTAGTGGTGCTACAGTCCGTGTCAGTGTACCCAAACCTCTGCTTACCTATTGCTATCAGTTCCTGGCTGGGATCGATCCTGTACATGTTCTTCGTTGCTGGAAAGAGCGCAACAACACAGCGGGCAAGTCTCCCACACTTTCACAACGAGGTGAACATCCAGCGACAACACCAACTCAAACTGAACGTTAAAAGTATGCAATTAGCAAAACGGACAAAAAATATCCTTGTTCTGTATGACATTTTAAGTTGTGTTGGTTCATGTTGTATGACGGTACTGTTATGTGTGTGTGTTGGTGAGGGTACTGTTGTGTGTGCGGTGGAGTGTCACTGCTGTGCGATTAGCTCGTATGCTTTAAGGGTACCAAACGCTTTAGCGATTGCAATGCTCTCCAGGAAGCCCAGCAGCGGAATGACCAACAGCGCCAACCCCAGATCCTGCAACAGCAGGTTACATGTCATGTGTAATACTTGCATATTTCAGCACATAAAGCAAGATGTATAAAATACTGAAGACATCAAATTGAATAAAACTATGGGATGGGGAGCACTGCAGAAGTCGCAACCGGGTACCCGATACCCGTACCCTACCCGATACCCGGCTACCCGTACCCGGCCGGGTACGGGTACCCGTTTGCGACCCTGGAGTGGGCGGGTACGGATACGGGTAGACCGTGAGTCACTGGTGAATAACTGTTTGTCACTCATTTCCCAACGTCTTGTCTCTTCTCACAATTCAAGATCCTAGAATCAACCCACCTGCGCCTGCAACATGGCTTCATCCCAGAGGTCGCAATCAGGTACCCGATACCCGTACCCTACCCGTACCCGGCCGAGTACGGGTAGGGAACGGGTACGGCCGGGTACCGGTACGGGTACCCGTTTGCGACCCTGGTGCGGCCGGGTACGGGTAAGGAATCAAACCCGTTTGCGACCTCTGGAGCACTGTAACTGGCTTGGACATCGTGCTTTGGATCTGGAACAACAGCCACTCTCCGACACGGTGACCTACCCTGACGATCTGCAAAAAAGGGATGAATGTGCCTTCCTTGGTTTCTGAGAAGGCAGGAGGGTGGAACGGGGGTAGGCCCTGGGCAATGTGCCCCGTGAGGGTGAAGGGATGCAGCCTCTGGCTCTCGCAGGCAAACGCCACGAGCGCGGCGGCCAGGACGACCACCGCATTGCGCACTGAAACACACACACGGCCAACGCTCATCTGTCAAGAACAGACATTGACACGGACACGGTTTCCAGAGCGCCGGTCTTCGCAACCCACCTTCCCACATTTAACAATTTTCTATGTTCTAATACAATCATGAGGCCTCCTTTGCCAGTACCAAAATATACTAATAGGGTTTTATCCCCTTTTTTCTGGCAACAAAACTGACACCTTTTGCAAAGAATCATGTTAACATTAACCACAATACTTGCAATCAAATGCAAACAAAAAACAATACTCTGATAATTTATGCATTGTCCTTGAAACTGATTGGTCCACCCCAGAGACAGCTTTTCCTAGAGCCACCATATAAAGGTGTCAGTTTTGTTGCCAGAAAAAAAGGGGGAAAACCCTTTCTAATACAAGGTTATGTATTTAAGTTGATATAGGCATACCCCGGTTTATGCCCAGGATGCGTTCCTAAAACCAGAATGTTAATCGAAGCAAAGAGATGGGATGGCGGATTGTAATGTGGTACAGTACCCAAACAAAGGATGCTCGATAACCCATTGCGCATCTAGACTATAAAACGATCGGTGTGAAAAGTAAGTCTATTTTAGAGATATATTAAGATATATTACCTTGTTTAGTATACTATATGTGTTATCAGTTGTTTATTATATAAAAAATAGTTTACACTTTTATAAGAGATAATCGCCATAAATACAGTATGTGGAGGTAAAAATATTTATAGAGTACACATGAAAGTGATTATAGCCAATCGGAGATGCGAATGATTCGGCGGCATCTGGCACCTAAATTTCGCCGCAGAACGTTAAAAAATTGGGGCTTCATAGTTAAGTTCCTAAATCTCGAGTACGCTATGGCGAGGTACCACAGTATGTAAAATGGGATCGGGTATCAATAAGCTTAGTATATAAAACATTAAAATTAATAAAAGTGAAATAAAATAAAATCACGACGTTTCGGAGGCAACACAAGTCTCCGTCATCAGGTGGGACCGTCACAGCCAGATTTGCTGCATCAAGTGACGGTCCCACCTGATGACGGAGACTTGTGTTGCCTCCGAAACGTCGTGATTTTTATTTTATTTTACTTTTATTAATTTTAATGTTTTACCTACGTGACTTTACCGAAAACACCTAAGAATATGAATCCTTGCAGTCACGAAAGCTTCAACTCTAGAATTAAAGCTTAGTATGTTCGAGTGAAAGTACGCAAAGCGGGAGGGCGTAAATCGGGGAATTACCCGTATTCACAAAACAGTCCTCCGATAACATCAATTGACGTGGATAATAAGAACACAAACCTGTCCCGAAAATAGAGGTGATGCTGTTGCTGATACGAACGGAGACAGGAATGGGCGGTGGGAAGGGGGTCCGTGCGGCAATCAGGCGAAGGAGGATGAGCAGCAGAAGGGAGCTCCCGCCCAGCAAGGCATCCGCCAGTCTGAGAGCGCACACCACACGGGTCAAACGATGCCTGCATATCTTCTTGGTTCTTTCGGTAAAGTCACGTAGAAGGGAAGTAATAAAATAATAAAAATAAAACATAATAAAATAATTCTCACGACGTTTCGGCCACAACGCAAGCAGCCGTCTTCAGGTGAAAACCAGGTCCGTCCGACCTGGTCCGTCCGACCTGGTTTTCACCTGAGGACGGCTGCATGCGTTGTGGCCGAAACGTCGTGAGAATTATTTTATTGTGTTTTATTTTTATTATTTTATTACTTCCCTTCTATGTGACTTTACCGAAAGAACCAAGAAGATGAATCCCTGCAGTCACGAAAGCTTTAAATCGAAAGATGCCTGCATAGCCATGAAGAATGTGGATGAAAGCTCCCTGCTGACAATTACACACCGCATCAGATGCGCATTTTTGTTTGAGTCGTGCTAGGAGAGGCCCAGAACGAGCTCTGCACTCATGTTGGCGGTGACCAAGACAAAGATCCCCCGTGTAGGCCTTAACAGACTGTTGGGGCAAGTGCTGTTAGCGAGCATCTATGAAGGCTGGCGCGGCATACGTGGGGGCAGGTGGCCAGCACCATGCCCTGCCGCCTTTGTCTCCCACAGTGGTGAGGTTTACACACCGCAGCAAGTACTTATTTGAGGCTGAGTCAATCTATAGCAGGTACAGGACTGGTTTAGGCAATCGTCACTGATGTTGCCCGTGAGCGAGAATCTTACTCTGGTTGCCGGGTTCTTAGCGCAGCGCGCTAACCGCTGTACACCAGCTACCCATTGTCTATACGGACAATGCACATGGACGCATTCACCCATGTACACAAATACATCGGCATGCACAAACACACGGGCACGTAGCTCACGTTTACAACACTGCAAAGTTTGGTAACGTGTCGTTAAATAACCCACGTGGCTGACAGCCATGTACTGAACTGAATAAGTAATATTTAAAACACCTTTTCTAAAAACACGCTTATATGAAATGTACTAGTATGGGCAGAACTCCACGATTCCAGGAAGTGGCCCCGAAGCTTGCCACAACGTAAGGGACCTGTGGCCAATTACAGTCAACGTCAGTTGACCGTGGACAATTAGACCCAAGCCGAAACATAACAGAAAAAAAGTATGTTAAAAAAATATAATATATTATTTTTATGATAGAATATAGTATTGTCATCAGTATGACATAAGTATACCAAGTTTGCAGTCGATACCACATTGGGAAGTGGGTTAAAAAATTGAGTTACAAGATTTGAGGATACGACAACGACAACAATGACAACAGACACAGTGAGTTAAAAGAAAGCGTGTAAAAAGGAAAACAATTTTAACGAAAATTTATTTTCAGGATGTGCTTGCTGGCTTAGGGAGGAATATGATGCTCACCTGGTCTCTGCGATTTTTGGAAAACGTGTAATACACCTCCTGAAAGAACTGCTGAGGGATGTCTTTAAGTCCGAGAAGTGTCTAAACCAGATGCAGAACACACACAGACAAAAGTTTGACTAAATACACAATGTGCTCAAGATGCACTGCATCAATATAACTGCTCTTCTTGGTTCTTTCGGTAAAGTCACGTAGAAGGGAAGTAACAAAATAATAAAAATAAAACATAATAAAATAATTCTCACGACGTTTAGGCCACAACGCAAGCAGCCGTCTTCAGGTGGAGAACAGGTCTGTCAAGTAGACAGACAGTTTACCATGGAAGTCCAGTTCACAGACTCTGTCTACTTGACAGACCTGTCTCCACCTGAGACGGCTGCTTGCGTTGTGGCCGAAACGTCGTGAGAATTATTTTATTATGTTTTATTTTTATTATTTTATTACTTCCCTTCTACGTGACTTTACCGAAAGAACCAAGAAGATGAATCCCTGCAGTCACGAAAGCTTTAAATCGAAATTTAATAACTGCTGTAAAACAACAACCAACACATCTCTGAATGCTTGCAATTAAAATTCAAATAAAAAGTGGCTCTTCTTGTTATTTTGGTTGCCGAACCCTGACCATGGAAGACCAGTTCACTATGGAAGTCCAGTTCACCATGGAAGTCCAGTTCACCAGGGAAGTACGTTTACCAGGAAGTACAGTTTACCATGGAAGTACAGTTCACCATGGAAGTACAGTTTACCATGGAAGTACAGTTTACCATGGAAGTACAGTTCACCATGGAAGTACAGTTTACCCTGGAAGTACAGTTCACCATGGAAGTACAGTTCACCATGGAAGTACAGTTCACCATGGAAGTACAGTTTACCATGGAAGTACAGTTACATGGAAGTACAGTTCACCATGGAAGGTCCAGTTCACCATGGAAGTACAGTTCACCATGGAAGTACAGTTCACCATGGATCCATTCACCGTGGAAGTACAGTTTACCATGGAAGTACAGTTCACCATGGAAGTACAGTTCACCATGGAAGTAACACCTCATGGGCAGGCGTCGGGAACTTGCGGCACCGGAGCCGCATGCAGCTCATTAAGGACTGTTTCGCAACATTATTTTTGAAGGACTGCCTCGTATTCACGTGCATTGCGGCTCTTGAAATATTGTTTTTTTTTACCGAATTTGAAAAAATGTCTCTGTTTGTTGTTTTGGGTTCCGACCCCTGCACTAGTCATACGTCGAGAGAAACACAAGTCGGTCCTCTGTCCCTTTAGGACACAAGACTTATTGATTGCGGTGCTGGACTTTTTTTACAGACGCACAAATGCACATTTAGGACAAGTTTCAGTGAAGCAGTTACCATAACTGAGCAGTTACCTTAATTTGGCTGAATCCAATCGTTATTGCAGCAGCGGAAGTGAATCCTTTCAAGACAGGGAGGGAGATGAATTCGACCAAAAAACCTGAACAAAAGAAGAAGACCATTATTGCAGAGAAATCATTTCCTTGAGAACGTTGGCAGCAGCTTAATATTCACACTGTGGCATTGCATTGTAAAGGTAGGAAATGTTCACATGCACAACAACAGCCGCGTCTCCACTGGCGTAGCCAGTGGGGGGGTGGTGGCACGTGCCCCCCCCACAATGATCCATAATTTCGATCGGATCATTAGGGTTTTAGTAATAAATCGGCATTTTGCGAACCCCACTGCCACTGTGTCGCATATTATTACGTGCCAGGGACTCTGAGATGACAATACGTCTGAGTCCATAATTGGCAATAAGTAACGGCAAAGCGGTTATAAGTGACTTACAGAATTGTGCCCATTTGCTTATACAGTACACGACTTCCCTGAAGGCAAACACCTTCAGTGAGCGCGATGCCAATCACACAACGCGGTTCGAATTCCACCCTCGATCGGTGGCTGCGCCATCGCCGCACACGGCGTCGAATAAAAAGCAAGGGACAGGTCCTTACTTACTAACAACTCCTCTGTCATTTTTCATTGCAGGAGGGGTTGCCCGCCCCCCCCCCCCACCTGAAAATCCTGGCTCCGCCATTGCTTGTCTCCACACGCATATTACAAGATCTCAGGCCACAGTGACGGTCCCTACCCAAACGGAAGATCCCCATGAGCTGGATGGCGCCAGACAGGAAGGTGAGCAGCACGGCGTACACGGGGTCGCGGCGCACGTACACCGACACAACGAGTGACATGATGGCCGTGGGGCCCAGCGTCACGTCCTTCGACGTCCCGAGCAGGCAGTACACGAAGCAGCCCATGAAGGCCGAGTAGAGGCCGTACTGCAGCAGGGGGAAAGCACAGCCTCGGTCACGAACCCACTGCGCCACCTTTCACCCTCCACCTTCACACGGTCCGAGTGAGACTCCGAGCACTGCTTCAACAAAACAAGGGATTGTCAGCAACTAGAAATGGCACCATGTCGTGATTCTCCTTATAATTGTTTTGCAATGTGTCATTATGAATTCCGGGGTAAGGCATAAGTATTCATGTCCTTACCCCAGTGTCCTGAAATAAAATAATTTCGGGATAATAAATCTATCATTAACACATAGTTGGTCTCAATTATATATATAAAAAAATGTAAACTCTTTGCAGCTGAAAGCTTCTCACAAGAGAACACCAACATATGCATGAGGCAGAACATTACACGCAACCTCTCAGTGGCAGCACAACCATCATAAATCAGCATAAGCCATGCATCGTACAGAAAAATACATCTGACGCTGGGTTCACAGGTCAGGATTTGACTTGACAAATGCACGCAACGCCTCCCATTCAGCGTGCCCACAGTGCTGTGGTCCACGAAACTCACCACCCACCGTGTGCGGTCCATCAGGCTTCATCGAAACAAAAGCCAGGTCGACTTCTCTGGATGTGCCACCGAAATGCGATCCTGGGGGGGGGGGAGCGGGGGGACAGGTGGAGGGCGACCGCAGCCCAGAGGTCGCAACCGGGTACCCGATAACCGTACCCTACCCAATAACCGGCTACCCGTACCCAGCCGGGTACGGGTACGGCTACCCGTTTGCGACCCTGGTGCGGCCGGGTACAGGTACAGGTAGGCCGTGAGTCACTGGTGAGTAGCCGTCACTCATTTCGGGTAGGGTACGGGTACGGGCAGGGAACGGGTACCCATTTGCGACCCTGGTGCGGGTCCGGTACGGGTACGGGTAAGGAATCAAAACCTGTTTGCGACCTCTGCCGCAGCCTTACCTGCGCAGTAAGCCGGCCACCTGTGCATAGGCGAGGGACTGAGGCACCACGGTGAGGCCCACGGTGAGCCCTGCAACCAAGTCCATGCGCGCAGAGCGCAGCGTGTAGCCTGGCAGCCACGCGAGCGGGGGCAGCAGCCCACGCACACGGCCAGGTGGGCAACAGCAGCGCGCCACGGACGCGACGACGGTCCTGGCGAGCCCGAGAGCGCGAGCGAGACCAGCGTGGCACCGCTCCGCCATCTCACGCGCACGGAGAAGGAAACGCCACCACTCACGTACACCCCACCATTCACGTACACCCCACCACTCACGTACACCCTACCACTCGCGTACAACCACCGCGGTCTTCTGTCAGGGTCGGGGCGGTGACACGGCTCACAGCGGAAGCGTTGTTGCCACTTTCTGCAGAGGTTTGAAGTTCGCGACCGGCAGGCGGCCCTGGTTAATACTGCGGGTGTATTAACAGTAAAATACATGCCATCTGCTTTGCTCACAGTGGATGAAGAAAAGTAGTGAGGGCATTATGTCACACTTTCCCAAACTCCATTCGGTGCGACCCACCACGCTTTGCCTTTCCGCGTTTATAAATTTACTTTCCATAAAAATACAAGTCCTTCTATGCTGTACGTGCATGATAATTCTTAAACACGTGGCCAATTTAAAATATGCTGCCAGGTCCTTCCAGAGGCAGCAAAGTCACACGGTACAGAAACTCACATCCCCCATAGATCAATTTCAACGAGCATGGATAATATTTAACAATTCATCCAACCACGTGAAATGCACTGAGCATATTCCTCAATCACAATGGACTTCACGCGGACTATGAACCTATTCAAAAGTGTTGTTTTCCTTCCACTGTCTTTGCCAAATTAAGTTCGTGCTGCCATTATGATGTAATCCAGCAGCATGTGT